GGTCACATCTTAAACTAGATTTTAAACTGTAAAACAGGGATTAGATCTTTGTTTGTTCTGTGACATGCTTAACACATTTCTGGGTGCTTTATAATATAATAATAGTAATAATAATAATAGCTTACCATGACATCTTTTAGTGATCACTGCATCCCCATAGTACCCATCAGCACACTTCTCACAGTGATGGCCCATGGTGTTCCCCACACACTTCAAACATTCTCCTGTGACTGCATCACAATGGCCATCTTCTAGAGGATCTACATTCCCGTTGCAGTCACAAGGAACACATGTCTGGCCAGGTACCAGTGGATTTCCATAATAACCATTGGCACACCTGCACAACAGGTTGAAAGGTATATCAAACCAAATGCATGAATGTCAGAGTCACCCAGCCCAACAAAATATTGGTTTTGATTACCAAAATGCCCTCTATCAGAAATGTCCTCATATACTTAAAGTAATTATCTCTAGATAAATGAGGGTAACAGTGACAGATTTTTTCCCAAAGCTGTTCTACATACCTTTCACACTGTGATCCTGTATGCCCTGGCCGACACTTGTCACAGATAACATCGCCTCCTTTTCCTAAGTGGCAGGTGGGACTGAAACTAGCAAAACCATTTTGGAGAGCCATTATCAAGTCAAAAAGTTTTAAACCTTTACTCTATTTTAAATGTTCTCAAAGACCACTATATCTATCTTGTAATCATAGATTTTATTAAACCAAGGGTAAGCCTTATATGATTTAAACAATGTAACCTAGATAGCAAAGCTCTGAAAGGTTTTATAATGTTAATACCACATTAGCCTTTTTTTAAAAATCTTGCTTCTGGATGCTTTCTGTTTTCAATTAAAGAGTTTTCAGATTTGTTATAGCTGCCTAAAATTGGCCTTTTCCTTTCTAACTCTCTTTTCTCTTTGCACCAGGCTCACCTTTTCTGAAAGCACTATTTTTACCTTATTTTCATTTTCAGGTCTCTTAATCTGTTGGACTCATTAACATTACTGTAGTGTAAAAAGTTGAACCAGAACTTTTCTGCCAGATTCAAAGATAATCTTAAGTAAGTGCAATTGCATATAAATAGTACCAGATTCAACTCAGTTAAATTATCTTAGCTTCAGTGATGAATTTGGCTTTTCCCTACTGCCTTATAAAAGTCAGTTTTATTTTCCCCCACCCTTTTCACACATTTCTATTCCTCCATTCGTCTATTATTCCGTTCTTCTATTCCATCCTAAGTTTATTTCCCCTGCTTTCCACCTCTATTGCCTATCTGAGGTCATTGAAGATACCAAGTAAGATCTCAGACAAGCAGCTTACTTGTTTGTATTCATTCTCAGAGGACAGGCACAGGGCTGACAGTCTCCAGGAGTTCCTCGGGATGGAGTGCCATAGAAGCCAGGCAAGCACTGATCGCAAAAAAGTCCTGTAGTGTTGTGTTGACAGGCCTTGAAAAGACACAAAAAACCTTTTCATATTAATTCTTGAGGAATTTTCAGCCCCTGAAGGATCTCAGCATGAAACTTCATGCAATACCCCATTAAGATTCAAGGAAAGGACATAAAAACAACAGACTCTTGAAAAATAATTTAAATGTATCTCGGTTAACAACAACAATATCTAACTATCTGATCTCCAACACTTTAGAATGCACTTTATCTCATGTATTAAAGCATCATTATATACGCAAGTAAGTGTATTCTACTACTTGTACATATTTGCAGCAACAATCTATTACGTATTTCTTCCTCATTTAAAACAATTCTATTTCTGTAGTCTTTAAACCTCAGAAGGAAAATCTGAGTGTTGAAGTCCTGTCTTCTGAATGAAATGCAAAACTTCCATTGCTGTGAATCAGTGTACACATATATATCTGAAATCAGAATTCAGCTGTTAACTGTGGCATAAATCAATCAATTTTGCAATTGAAAGCAGATTGATTCAGCTCTTACTAACCAACATAGAGTGAAATCCTTGTCCAATCTCTGATTCTAGAGCTATTATTCCTCATTTTAAATAAAGGATTGTGATGAACTGCAACTACTGAGAACAATATTCCATTATTGAAAAGTCTGCACTAAAAAGTTCAAACATTTTTGTGCTTATGGCTCTGAATAGACACACTATAAAACTGTCTCTCACTCTTCTGTAACTAAAATTCTCATAATTCCTAAAAAGATACTCAAATCACACATGTATATGATGACTTACAAAGCAAACCCCATAGATATCACATTCATTTGCATGGCCATTGCATTCACAAGGTTGGCAAATCCCTCCAAAGAGAATTCCATCTACACGGTAGTACCCAGGAAAACAGGACTGAAAATAAAATAGCACCAATTGTATTAAGATTCAAATGTTAGAAAATTATTAAAGAGCCCATTTCTAAAAACAAACAGCCTGACTCTAGTCTGGTATACTTTGGAAGTAATGTTGCAACACCATTGGACTAGAGGAAGTTACTTCCTGATTTATGCTGATGCAAAAGGGAGAAGAATCATCTTCAACACAAATTTTTATGAAGCCTTGCATCCATTAGAGGGAGGTAAAATGAGTCATGTGCTGACAGTACATAAAGAGCTTTCTTACTAAGATAATAAAAATAGAAGTTATATCTGCTTTTCACAGTCATTAAAAGCTCAATAGCACTTTCAGAGTAAAGTAGTGCTTTGCACTGGCATTATTTTGTCAAAACATTCCCCTTTGCTCTACCAATAATGATTCTTCTATTCCCTGTGCCTTGTTATGTGATTCATCTCATACTTGCACCAATCTCCAAGTCCAGTCACCAAATCTCCTCTCTAATCACACTGAAATCTCTCCACAAATTCTGCTGACATGGTTTGAATAACCTAAAATAAAATGTTGCAAAACTGTAGGTTCAAGAAAAAATGCTATCAATTAATTATGGCAAATTAAAAACAGAAAGAGGAAACTCATACAACTACTTCTGTCTCCATCACTCCTGTGCACCATCAGCCCTTAGTGCTATCAGTTAAAAATCAGAAGGAAGTTGTCATGACATTTTGTATACTTAGAAGCTCATACCTTCAGCTCTTATACATGCTGGCTCCCCATAATGTATTAAACTAACAGTATACGGCACTGTCATATTTCTATGATACTGTAAATTAAGAAGAGTTTGTAATAATTGAGTCATATAAAAATGTGCATGCTTTGGCCTACATCAAGCAATATACCAGGTTACCTCGCAGGAAATCCCTGTGTAACCCTGAGGACATACGCAGTGTTCCACATCTGCTGCTGAAGAAAGATCTATAACATTAGCACTTGCTGAATCCAAGGTGACAGAGTCCAGCCTGTGACCAAATACAAAAACACATCAAGATTTGCTTCTTCAATGTTCATTTTAATCAGAAGAATTAACCAGAAACAATAGATCATTAGCATTTCTGAGTGCTACTTCATGATAGCATTTATTAGTCATAAATCTCTGATTTAGTAGTCTAAAATAGATCCCAAGTATATTTATAAGTCTAGTCATGCTGGGACTAGGTACTGAAGCCATCTCATCATCAGTGTAAGCCTAGAATGAAAACCAGCACCACACTGTTGCAGAGATACAGTACTCTTAACTACAGATTTCAATTTCTGTCCCTTCTCTGTCAACTAAACAGGGATATACTGGTTAATTTTTTCCCAGGAAATACAGACAATCCTCTCTGAGTGTCACTAACATCAGTCTATTCTACCCTGATTTCCTTTTTCCAATTTTGTCTGCAGTATAAAGCCTCTGCCACCATTACTGTGCCTGCCTAGTTCTACCAGCAGAGCCCCAAAGTGCTTGCAGAGCAGATGATGGCAAACAGGATTCTCCTGCTGACGTAGATATGCCACCTTCCCATATATTAGCTGAACTGGTAGAAGTCTTCTAGTGTTGGCACAGCCACATTCAGAGGAAAGTTTTGCCAGCATAGCTGTTTCATTGATGAATGTGATCTTTTCACTGTCCTAACCCATTTAGCCCATGCCAGGAGAACTTTGTAGTATCGACCACAAATTTGGGATGCAAAGTTAAGACAACTGTTTCAAGTATATGGGAAAGCAAATCAAGTGATTATGTGTTCAGCCTAGGAGACCATGCTTTCAGCATGTGTATAGATAACTCTGTGTGTGTGTGTGTGTGTGTGTATGTATGTGTGTATGTGTATACACACACACACACACACACGTATATGCCTGTGCATATGCATATGTATGTATCAGTGATGTTGCGTCAGCCTTGCCAGTCCATTCCCATTAATGTGGACATGAGGAAGGCACAAATCTCTCCTAGACAAAACAAAGAAACTTTGCAGTCATAGATAGGGTAGAATAACCCCATGCAATCAGTCTGGAGTCATGAATAGTCCAATTCTTAATTATTCAGTTCCATTCCCCCAAAAGCACAGAGACAAAAACAACTTGTTTGCTTTATGCACAGTGAACAAAATCCAAACACATTGATCCAAAACACTAGCACAGCAAAAGGACAAGGAAAGTGAGCGAGTGCTTCCCCTTGCAGATGGTCTTTTAACATCTCTTTACATATAGTGCCAGCCAACCCCCTTATCCCATTGCAGGCTGCATTAAAACATGCCAAAATAAGCCCACTATTGGATGTTTAGAAATTGTTCCCCTCTAACAAAGTACTACTCCCTCATCAATACCATCCTGGCAGGCCTCCTCACAAATGTCCTTGGGGCAAGGTTCCAGGCCATACTTTTTAAAGCAGAAAACAATGGTTCTGCTATCAGTCGGCCCAGAAACAGCCATGTATATTTTTCCACACATTCCACAAATGCTGACTTTTGGGATAAATCCAGTCATGAGGAAACTTATCTCAATAAAAAGGGTTTGGGTTTTTTTTAATCTGTGGGGAAAATAAATCATTAACATCTTAAAGCCAGGATTCAGAATGGCAATTCTTTGCTCAACAGATCACAGTACCACTGATACCTAATACATTTCAAATTAATACAGGTCTGCATTCATCTGAATATTTTTTCATCACTTACCTGTATATGGCTCTTTTTGCAATGTTGTAGCTAGCCCTAATCAGAAGATGAGTTACATTTACTAAAACAGACATCAGCCTGTCCCGATCTATAGCCCTTTTTGTATTAAAATCTATGAAGTTATCAGGTACAAGACGCACTGCATTGGAATATTCCTCATATGGCTGTAATGACAGGCCCTCTGCTCTGGTATTCAGAAATTGCCCATTGCCCTGAAATTAAAATAAGGAGAAATAGCTGGAAATATTAGCACAAAGATTTTAGTTAACAGATTTATTACAAGTCCCCATACTAAGCAGGTCCACATCACTACCTACGCGCTCTAGAAAAGCCGATGGTTTGTAAGCTTTTGCGCTGTTTCTTCACAGGTAAAGTCTTTGTAGAGACAGCTGACCGTACAGTTTGACATGTTCAGCATGGACCTCTTCATGCATACTATGCCAATTGCCTATAAGATGTTCCCAACTTATGGCCTTTGCAGCACTCATGCTTGACTAATTTTAAAGCAGGCTGTTCTAGCTTGACCTCAGGTTTTACACATTCAAAAATGCACCTAAATGCACTCTCTTAACTGTCCATGTGCCACACTTTTGAAGTGGATGTGGCCACACCTCTATTGCCGTGATTCTGGAACTGCCCACGTTTGTACCATATGGGCGCATCCACACATGCCCCTATGGCACTGTTGTTACTGCACCATCATTTAGTACTTCCTCTAGTATGGCGCACGGTTTTTTTTAGCCACTACGTCGCCATAACGATGTGCTATAGCAAGGGAGGGAGTCGTTATGGCGACATAGCTGCGGCATCACGGTTTGTGCCTGCCAACGCTATACCACCATAGCGCATTGCTACGTTGACGTAGCATCTCGTGTAGACACACCCTATGATCCCAAATTCCTAAGCTTCAAATTCCCTCCTAGTCTTGGCTGCTAGGATCTTTGGGTGGCTAAACATGAAGACTGCTTTGAAGTTGGGCTTCATGGCTCTGGGTCAGGCTACAATGAGATCTGACCCAGAACCAGGGCTCCATTTACAGGGGCGTTCGAAATTTGGGGAGTTTATTCTGACATTCTGAATTGAAATGAAATTATTATGGAAATTAAATGAAACCAAAGTAGTTCAAAATATCAGTTTTTTTCCCCAAAGCAAGATTACCTTTCTCTGCCAAGCTCTATTGCTATGGGTGCATTATATTTAGATTAATGGGGTGTTTTGGGTGCTTAAAGCTCATGCACTGGAGTTTTTAAAATTATTACTTACATCTAAATCAATAAACCATTAAGTCCATGCAAAACAAATCTCTTTAACAAATAGAAGGCATGATCTACTTTAGTTCCACATGTAAGCTACACTCTGCTCATGCAGCAATCACTCCACTAGCACCCATCCATAAATTTTAGGTGAACATTTTTTATTTACTGTTCTCAAGGACTGGGAAGGTCCAGAAAAAAAGCGAGCTGTTACAAAGGATCAGGAACCTGAGCAATACAAAAATCCTTAAAACAGTCATTTAAAAATAAAGCTTCAAATTGTTAATATAACAATATTCTATGCCTTTGTTACCTAGAAATATATACAAATGTTCCCCAGAATTTTTTAATAATGTCTGCCTGGCAAAAAAAAAAAAGTTACCTGAATGATTATATCCACACTAGACACTATATCACTATCCACACTCTCCATTGGAATGTCATAAGATACAGTGTATTTCAAGTATCCACCAAATGCAGTTAGCTGAAATTATGAAACACAAAATTTGCAGCAGTCAGTATCAAAAAATAAGTCCTGAAGATTCCAGCTTACTTGCAGCAAATTAGGGAGAGTATATGGTAATTTGGCCGCATATTTAATACTTGCATACACAAGTACTAAACACAGTATTTGTGGCTACTGACTGCACAGTAACCAGAGTCAGTGTGTAGTAGCATCACTGAATGGCTTTTAGGTGACACTGACTGTGCAGTAGCTAGTTACTACTGCACGGTATTATGTCACATCATGCTTCATGCCACACAATGCTACTGTGCAGTAGTAACAAGCTACTGCGCAGTCAGCGTCTCATGTAGACGCAACCTTTCATTACTACTTCTGCAGTCTTTACAGAACATGAGCTTGTTTTCATGGCCACTTCAGCAAATGAATATGTAATGTGACCTATGAACTAGCATATAAAGTAGTCTTGGATCCTTCCTGTATAGTTTATAAAAGCTAGATGGGATTTGCATTTTTGCAGATGCACTGCACTGCCCATTCCAAAATCCACAGTATGAATCCCAAAGAGTACCAGTATATTCTACTTTTAAGCAAACAGACATAATGTATTGAAGTTATTTAGTCTTTAAAAACATTCTCTCTCACTCTATGGATGTTTATGCATGATGTTGCTGTCATTATTTCAGTCTAGATTAATAGTAAACTCAAACAAGTGAATGGATTCAAACCAGCATTATATTGTGAGAGATCAGTATTTGACTAACCATTACATTACACAAAATTTCTCTCTCTGGCCTCTGCTACATGTTACATATGTTACACAATAAACTGGCTAATCGTGCAATAGATTTAGACTGGACAAGTGCAAAATAAGACTTTCCACGAGTGGAAAGTAATTACCTGGTTAATTAACTAGTTAATTGCCCAATACATTTAGACCAGACACATGCAAAGTAGTTATCACATGATAAAAATGACTGTCCAGATATAAAGAGAGCCAACCAGTTATAAAGTTAGTGCTTGAAAATGTATAACAACTTTATATCTGACTTCTATCCAGCTTTAATTTGAATGTGTAGTAGGGTCCTCAAAGTTACCTTTGGGGGACTTTATGCACTGACACTGCTTGGTATATCCCCCTACTCAGTCACTTAATATGAAATGAATATGCTGGAGGCACAAAGCATTATGTTTAATATGGGTAACTGGTGCATTTACTGTAATGTCATAACCTAAACCCCCATATAAGCAACAAAAATCTAGCCGTATTACTTAAAAGGACCATACAGGCCTACTTTGCTTTCTTTTGTATTGTTTTTAGATTAATTATAGAAATTCAGACTTCCTGGGGCTTTTCAACTTAATTGCATAAAGAATCCGTCTGGACTAAATACGCTTCAGCTAAAGCAGAATAGGACTTCCCCTTCAGTTCTAGTTTGTGGTTGCTCTGAACCATGTCTGGTCCAGGAATACAAAATAGAAGATTGTCCCCTATATGCACTCAATCCCCCGACACTCTCTTTATGCTCCAAAACTGAGGAAGGATTCAGCTGTTTCAAATCCAGATGGGGAA